AGCAGACGCATTCCCGCTAATGTAATTGTATATGGATACCAAAAAATGCATTCCATTTACACTCATGTTAAATGTGGTCAAGATCCGTCTCCGACCACCTCCGAATGTGATTTGAGTGACCTGATCATAGTTTGATCACAATGCATCTTGAGTCTGTTCACACCTGGCTTTTCATGCAGTCAAGTGAAATCCAAACAAGATGCGATCACCAAACACACATAAGAATCAGAATCAGAATTGCTTTATTTCACCAAGTATGTTACACATACACAGACTTTGTTTTGGTGAGTCACACATGTATGACATGTAACATTACAGACTGCAGTAACACTGATGTGGTGGTGGTGTGTTAGTGTGTGTTGTGCTGGTATAAGTGGATCGGGTCTGAACAAGCAGTGCTGCTGGAGTTTTTAAACACTGTGTCCACTCACTGTCCACTCTATTAGACACTCCTACCTTGTCAGTCCACCTTGTAGATGTAAAGTCAGAGACGATAGCTCATCTGCTGCTGCACAGTTTGTGTTGGTCATCCTCTAGTCCTTCATCAGTGGTCACAGGACGCTGCCCACAGGACGCTGTTGGCTGGATATTTTTGGTTGGTGGACTGTTCTCAGTCCAGCAGTGACACTGAGGTGTTTAAAAACTCCAGCAGCACTGCTGTGTCTGATCCACTCAGACCAGCGCAACACACACTAACACACCGCCACCACGTCAGTGTTACTGCAGTGCTGAAAATGATCCACCACCCAAACAGTACCTGCTCTGTGAGGGTCCATGGGGGTCCTGACCACTGAAGAACAGGGTAAAAGGGGGCTAACAAAGTATGCAGAGAAACAGATGGACTACAGTCTGTAACTGTAGAACTACAAAGTGCAAAGTTACTATACAGTAAGTGGAGCTGATAAAATGGACAATGAGCATAGAAACAAGGAGGTGGTCAGAATGTTATGCCTGATTGGTGTATAAGGTGTGTGGATATCTGTACATATGCAGATATGAATGTCTGTATGTGTGCAGATCAAGTAGATGTGCACTATAAGATATATTCTATACAAACTATGACACAGAATATTACAGAGTAATTTACTACTTGTGCAGTAGTGCAAATAAGCATTATGCTACAGGAGGAGTTACACTGTAATACTGTACGGAAGGTTTGTTGGTTCAGTTTAAGTTTGATGTTGCAAAATGTGAACATACCCGTTAAGTAATTCAGAGTGGTTTGATGTTATGTATGTCATTTTAAAGAAGCTTGCTTGGTCAAAATTGTTAGCAGTGATGGTGATAGGAGCCAGACGTCTGAAGCGTTTAATGCCTCTAGAAGTTGTCATAAAGTTTTGGCCTATGATGTATTTATTTAAAATACGTTCAAGGCATGTAGAATCGTACGCAAAAGTTTGGGTGTTCCTGGTCAAATGATGTGCTGATTTTCTAAGTGAAAATAGGTTAAAACATCCTCTACAGAGAACATATTTCTGCACAATTACTGTTTATTTCAGGGGAAAAAAAGAAACTTAAAATGTGGCCTGTGCAAAAGTTTTGGCATAATTTATATTTTGTTTTATTTTTTTTAGTATGAAATAATTTAGCGAAAAAATAAAGATTGTGCATTAAAATACTGCAGAAAAATTCAATATTTAAGCATGTTCTCTGTAGAAAATATGTTCATGTAAATTGCAGAGCAAGATTAGTAAGTTTAATCAGTTGAACATGGTTACTCAAACTCGACTGCTTTTCTTTCTAGTTAGACTCTTTAAAAGGCTGAGCATTTTTTGTTCACTAAAGTCATTTTTTTTTGGTTTGGCCTTTTTAAAAAAGCTCTATTAATCCTCAAAACAGCCTGTATAGTACTGTGTATTTGTCCCACCTCTGTGGCCCTTCTTGCACTGACATGCATAACTGAGGCTTGCATATCCAGAGCTGATTAGACTGTTTGAAGGATAAGTTCTCCCTGGTGGTCCTCATACAGAGCAGAGGGGCTGGGGACGGTGTCCTGGTCTGTATCTCCTCTTCTCCAGGCTGCTTCAGCTAACTGAAGCTGGCTGCCACTAATTGAAGCGATAAGGCTGACTCTCCTCGCAGCTCAGTTAGCCAAGCCCATCGCAACAATAACCTCCCAAACACGATTAAGTCACACTGCTGCCCAATTCGCCCCTCTCAAAAACAGCCTCTGCTGATGTACATGGCTGATAGCGGCATATATTCAACACTGAATATGAAATGGCCATACAAGAACCTTTTGTCCTAGAGGGCTTGCTGGGTTTCTTTCTAGGTCCCCTTTTCTGTACCTTCCACTCATGAACTTAATGTACAGGCACACTTCAAATGATTAGTCCACGTATCGCTAGCCTGCCCACGAACGCCGCCCCCCCATCTCTGTGCATGCAAACACACACACACACATGCGCATCAAAGAACGGCACTGTAAATAGTTATCTTGTGTAAGTTTTGTATCGTGTTGCCTTTTGTATGAAAGTTAAATGTCGAATATATATACACGACTTTTTTTGCCTGTTTTTTAAATCATGTTTGTTCATTTGTTGGGTCTTCTTCCAATTTTTTTCTCTATTTTCGTTGCTTTTGTCATTGTATTTGTCGTTGTTGTTGCTGTTATTGTTTATTTTTGTTTCTCTCTGTCCTCTTCTTAAGAGAAGACCTCATAGATTCATGAACTATGTATTATTAATAGGACAGTACTATAGCTCCTCCAAAGGGGGGCCGGTGGCTAAAAGATAGTTATTAACTTAGACTAAAAGATTTCTAAGTCTAAGATGATGTAAATCTTTGATTCTGCCACAGAAGAGACCCAGGAGACGGGGTTTGTGGAAATAAAGATGGTTTATTTGAATAAAGAGCAGTCTGTACACCTGATTCCAGCCTCATCTCACCCCCAGTCTCAGGACCAGTTTTTGGAACCAAAGCTTTATACTCTTAAGTTTCCACACCCGAGAGAGAGCGAGTGAGAGCGAGAGAGTGAGAGCAAGAAAGAGAGAGAGGATGTTCTCAGAAACATGAATCCTGGCGTAGAAGGGAGAGTCGGTGTGACAGAATGAACAAACTAGTTTTCCTAGTTAAACCTATTTCCTTTCATATCCCCCTTATTTCAGTCCCGACTCTCCTCGCAGCTCAGTTAGCCAAGTCCATCGCAACAATAACCTCCCAAACACGATTAAGTCACACTGCTGCCCAATTCGCCCCTCTCAAAAACAGCCTCTGCTGATGTACATGGCTGATAGCGGCGTATATTCAACACTGAATATGAAACGGCCATATAAGAACCTTTTGTCCTAGAGGGCTTGCTGGGTTCCTTTCTAGGTCCCCTTTTCCGTACCTTCCACTCATGAACTTTGCCTCTGCTGCTGTTTACTTCTCACTGCAGTATCACCCTTTACAGTTAAAGTACACTACTGGGCTTTACATCATTATACTAGCAGCAGGTTTATAACTTACAGTACTTACATGGGCAGCGATACTTCTTGGTCTGAGCTTAGTTTTAGCTGTCCTTAAATAATGCCTGGGCAAATTCAGACATGCTCAGGAGAACCCTGTTTGGAGGGGGGTTGGTTTGATAGATATATATATATCATATAGTTTAATATTGATGTATATATTTTTTTAATTTGATCTTGTTCATTCTGTGGTTTTAGCTTGTTACGGTTCAAGTATCCATTCTTGAAGGATTCTGTATTTACTTTATCAGTTGTTGTTGGTCATTATTGTCTCCCCCTGCAGAGGAGAAGGACTGGTATGTGCTGGGTTGGGTCGACCAGTGGAAGCCTACATAAAGAGCTCACTGCATTTCTGTAGAGAGGAGAGGGCTGGTTGGTTGTTGAGCCAATGTATTTTGAGGGAAAATGTTGCTTCCTCAAAGTTCATAAATATATTCTGTAAATATTTTTTTTTTCGTTTTGTTTTGTTTTTCTGTTTTCAACATTTTGTTATTTTTTCCACACCTTTCACCAAATAAACACCCTTGTGCTGAATGTGCTATTGTGGTTTGCCATCGCTCCTTCTTACAACCCACCCCAACCTTGTTGGAGCATGTCTACCCTCACCCGCAAGCAAGGTGTGATGATCGGCTTTCTTAGGGACTCAGATCCTATTGTGAATACATAAGTGTTGTAAAACGACCAGAGTCGATGTCCTAACTTGAGTGTTGTAAGATGAAATTTGCTGTTATTGTTCAAATCTCGTGAACAGAGCATAAGTGGCCGACCCGAAAAACAACCCCTCAGCATTCTAGAAACTAGAAAACTAGACAATAAAACAATTATCAACAAAGAACCTGGCTGTCCTGAAATTGGGATAACAGAAGGCAGGACAGATGATTGTTCTGTTGACATAATTCTGTGTTCAGTGAACTTTAAGGCAGGTTACTTATTTTTTTCCAAGTTCCAACAGCTCATTTTAGCATCTGACTTCCTCAGCATCAGTTCTAGTCTGGCTGGAAAGCAGTGTTTCCTTTACTCATCACCAGGCTTACTGGTACAATAAGAAACAGCTGAGAGCACGTTGAGGTGGTGATGTACTCAGGCAAAGGAGTTTCTCCACAGAGAATGAAATATTGTCAGAGAATTTGGATTCTGAGTTTCCCCACCCAGCCTTACAGCATTCACATTTTCCACCTGTAGGTGGCAGCGGCACTAAAGATTTCAGTGCTTTATTTTAGGGGCTCGTTCTGAACACTGTAGGTTCAGGTTTCAGTTTTATAGTAATATTATTATCTAGATGTTTCTTAAAAATGTCCAGCATCGTCGAAATCTAAATGGAATATCACGTCTGTGCGTTGAGTTGCTCCTTTTCTGTTTCTCTCACTCCTGCTTTCACTTTCCATTCATCATGAGTCTCTCTCTCTCCGAGTCAGATGACTGTAGTGGCATGAATTGTAACTGAACACCTGTTGTGAGTGACAGTGTGATGGTGATATTAGTATTGAAGACGTTTATATATTGTATGTGTCTGTCTTGCTCTCTCACTCACTCTCTCTCTCTCTCTCTCAGGCGCCGATGTTTTCCTGGCCACGCCTGAGGGACGCTGACCCTGTCCTGCGCTGTGAGATGGCCTCCACCGGAGAGGTCTGGAGACACTTTCCTCCTAATCGGATTTCTTTTATCTTGAATCTATTTAGTGCTCGGTGGGCCGTGGCGAACTATAGGGCTGTATAGTTACACAGTAAAGGGGGGTTAATGGGCCGTGCTCATAGTTTCATCATCTCTCCCAAGAGAACGAGACGATTCTCAGCAGAGAGACCACCTCACCAGCCTCGGTCCACTCCACAGAGGAGGAGGCTCTCCTTTTCTCCTCTCTTCTCATAACATTTCTCCTCTCCTTTCATCTCTCCTCTCATCGCTTTTCTTCTCTCATGCCCTATAATCAGTTTTCTTCTTTTGTCTTTTCACTTTTCTTACAGTCTACTTTCTTCTCCTTTAAACTTTTCCTGCTTTTATTTTCTCCTCCATCTCTTCTCTCCTTTTGTCTCTTCTCTTCTCCTATAATCTCCTTTCTTTTTTCATTTTTCTATGATCTTCTTCTCTTCCAGTCTCCTTTCTTCTCATATATTTTTTTTCTCTTCTTTTCTCACCGGTTTTCTATAATCCTTTATTTCCATCTCTTCTTTCTTTGTGTCTTCTCCTCCTATCGTCTTCTCTTTTCTCCTATAATCTTTTCTTTTTCATTTTTCCTTTTTCTCTCACTCTCCTTACTTCTCATGCAACCTTTTTCTCTTCTTTTCTCATCGGTTTTCTTCTGTAATTCTTTTACTTCCACCTCTTCTTTCTTTGTGTCTTCTCCTCCTATTGTCCTCTCTTTTCTCTTATAATCTCCTTTCTTTTTTCATTTTTTCTACGATCTTCTCCTCCAGTCTCCTTTCTTCTCATACAATCTTTTTCTCTTCTTTTCTCACCGGTTTTCTTCTATAATCCTTTTACTTCCATCTCTTCTTTCTTTGTGTCTTCTCCTCCTATTGTCTTCTCTTTTCTCCTATAATCTTTTCTTTTTCATTTTTCCTTTTTCTCTCACTCTCCTTTCTTCTCATACAATCTTTTTCTCTTCTTTTCTCACCGGTTTTCTTCTGTAATCCTTTTACTTCCATCTCTTCTTTCTTTGTGTCTTCTCCTCCTATTGTCTTCTCTTTTCTCCTATAATCTGCTTTTTTTCATTTTTTTCTCTTTCACGCTCCTTTCTTCTCAATCTTTTTCTTTTTTCTTCTTCTTCTAAAATCCCTTTACTTCAGCCTCTTTTTCTCTGTCTTCTCCTCCTGTTTTCTTTTATCCTATAATCTCCTTTTCTTTTTTTCCATTTTTGTCTTTTGTTCTCCTTTAATCTCCTTTCTTCTCATACATTTCTTCTCTTCTCTCATCTATTTTGTTCTTCTATAATCCTTTTACTTTCATCTCTTCTTTTTCTCTCTTTGTCTTCCTTTCCTGTTGTCTTATCTTTTCTCCTATAATCTTTTTTTTCATTTTTTCTCTTCTCCGTTAATCTCCTTTCCTGTTTTCTTTTTTCTCGTTTTCTTCTCCTATAATCCTTTTACTTCCACCTTTTTTCTTTGTCTTCTCCTATAGTGTTCTGTTCTCTTATCTCCTTTTCATTTTTTTCTTCTCCTTTAATCTCCTTTCTTCTCACACATTCCTTTTCTCATCTATTTTCTTCTTCTATAATTCTTTTACTTCCACCTTTTTTCTCTGTCTTCTCCTATTGTCTTTTCTCCTACAATCTCCTTTTCCTTTTTATCATTTTTTTGTATTCTCTTTTCCTTTGATTTCCTTTCCTCTCAGTCCTTTTCTCATTTGTTTTTTTCTCCTTTAATTCTTTTATTTCCATCTCTTCTTTCGTGCCTTCTTCTACTGTTGTCTTATCTCTTCTCCCACAGTCTCTTTTCTTTTCTCTTCTTGCCTCCTCTGCTCTTTTATCTCTTCTCCTCTCCCTTTTTCTCTCATAATCTCCCCTCTCTTTTTTTTTTTTTCTTCCACTTCTCTCTTCTGTACTGTCGTCTCATCTCAGTCGCCCCGATAGTGGCAAAACTCTCAGGAGGTTTTGGTGCTCCCTGCTATCAGCGTCAGTGGCTGATCAGTAACAGTGAATTGTGTCATTGTAATACTTCTTACTACTATTAAGTACTAAGTTTCTGTCGTAGATGACGACTTTACCTCTTCCTGTGCAGGTGGCTTGCTTTGGACCAAACATCTACTCAGCCTTTTTGAAGGCCATGCTGTCCACTGGGTTCAAACTCCCTCAGAAGGGAATCCTCATAGGTATCCAGGTGAGTGTGGGTGAGCGCGGCTTAGCATCGTAAAGACGTTTAAGGATTTGGCAAAGTAACAACCGTCTTTAAATTTAATTAGGCTTTGTAAATCTTGGTCCTAATCTGAATATAGTCTGACACAGTTATGGCTGCATCTGACTTTGGCATCACCTTACCAGTGTTACACTACCTAGCGACAGTGACAGCCGCCATATCATCGATACACAAATGAACAGCCTGATTATCAGCTACTCAAACTTGGATTTAAAGATCAGAAACTTGTTCGTCAATCAGTACATATTACGACGGTGTTTTAGGGCCACTGTTAACAAAAATAAAAACAGTGGACTTGGAGAAAAAAAGTTGTACTATTTTAAGAATAAAGTCGTAATATTTGGAGGATAAAGTGGGCTAACTGTAGGGGGGCTGCCATAATGCGTTAGGGTCTCGGTTGCTGTACTGGCGCTGGAGTTCAACAGCTGTTTCGCCCATATCGTCGCTGTCCAAAAAAAAAAACAAGTACCTCCAAAATAGTAACTTTACAGGAGAAGCCAAAAACACTTCTTTACCTTTCAGTGTAAGTTAATGTAAAGAGATTTTATACCAAATGATTTTAGAGCCTTTCTATTAGTCCATTTATCATAAACTTCTCATAAAACGTAAAGGACAGCTGGTGTGTTGAAATGTAGAAGAATAATCGACAAAAATGGAGATGCATGGTTTTCTTTAGACAGCGATGATATATTTAACCCTTGTGTGGTGTTCAGGTCTGTGGGACCCATTTTCAATGTTTACCAAAAGAAAAAAATTATTTGATTTATTATTTTATCCTCAGATTTCTTGGCCTTTGCTCATTTTCTGTGAAGGACATATAAAATAACCCATTTTCAGTGTCTTCACTCTGTTCACCCCCCACACATTTCTATTACACATGTGGTGTTGGGTGAACCTGCGGTGAGTAAAAGTGTGGAGGTGCTGTGTCCTTCACTCTGTTCTCCTCCTACATGGCCTGCTGTTAGTGTGTGTGTCTGTGTTTGTATATGTGTGTGTGTGAGAGAGGGTGGACAACACGGACAGGCTGCTGACTGGCTACAGCTGCTAAAGGAGAACCCTACGCTGGACATGTGATATTTTAATCATCTGGTATTTCTACATAAATTGTTATGACTGTATTGATTTAAAAGAACAGTAATGTGGTGGGTCCACCAGACCACTGAGTAACACACACATCAACACCACACAAGTGTTAAAGCTTTAACCCCTCCAGTGATCTCTCTATTTCCCAACCATCTTGCCATGACCATGTCGTTGTGTTCTGTATCTCTGTCTCGCTGTTGTGGGCGCTCCCTCCGTCTCTCTCTTTACATCTGCATCTTTGAATAAGTCCTTTGAAGCACAGATGAAGGCTGACAGTAGTTATTCCTCATCATTGCATGGCAGCTCTGCATGTCACAATTGTTCAATACAGGCGTGATGGAAGGCTTTCATGTCCTTCGGAAGTGTTTCATACCCAGAAGGCAGAGTGCTGGTCTGTCTGGTACTGAGCCAGTGCTGTCATGCCCCATTCATGCCCACTCAAACAGAGGAGGGCAATGGAAGCAGTCTCTTCAACATTGTTTCCTTTGTTGTACCATGTCTTCTCGTCTTTTTAGAGAGTGAGCGGGAGTGAATTATTTATTAGTCCAATAGAGAGTTCAAAGTATTTGAACTTCGTTTTTTCTCTTTATTAATACATCAAATGTCCAACGCTTTAACCTTACAAGTTCACAGTTTTACATAATGATTTACAACACGGCTAATGTGCTTCTCAGTTATACGGCAGTTGCGGCATTAAGGGGGGCATTGGACCTGGCCAAATTCATTCTAGCCCCCCGTAGGACACACAGAGAAAGAGCTGATAGGATTAGAGAGAGATTTGAAGGAGGTCAAGGGTACATTGTGGGCCGCAGCACTCGCAGAGTGCTCAGAAATAACCAAAGTGGTAGCCAAATTAGATAAACAGTGGAAATAGCAGAGTGTTCAAGGTTATTTAGAATGGGCTGGAGGAGAAAGGCAGGAAGTACTGACAGCGACTGACAGTGAGGTGTGAATGTAAATTATATTGGGAAATTATATTGTATTTTGCTGGTTTGATTTTTTTTGATTAGCAAAAGTGCCTGGAAATGTGAAATGCTGGTAGCGCATTCATTATTACAGTTCTTTTGTTTTTGCTAACTGCAGGAAAGAGCTGAGGAATATTTTGATTGTTGGCACCTGTAATTGGACAAACCTAAACCTGTAATTAGACAAGCCTAGAGAAAGAAATGGTAAGACTTTAGTGAAGGACATTGTTCATAAGGATATATATATATATATACCTTTACGAGCCTTTCATGACAACTGACATAAACCTATACAGACATTTATAAAGGTTTATTCCCACAAACTAGGGGTGGTTTAAAAAAAAAGAACACATTTTTTGATTCAAGTTGATCTTCATTTGAATGATTGTTGTGCGTTTGCTTGGCCGAGTGAGGCGCGTTGCATCGTCTTCTCATCGTAGCAGTACGGCAAGCCACAAACTCAAATGGAAGCAAATGATAATGGGGCTGCCTGCACAGAAGTTGGTGATTGACGTGGCGACTCGTTGGAATAACGCACTTGTGTTGGGAATGTTCTTTACAATTACGTTAGTTCTCTGAAAATCTCTTTTCATATTCAAACAAAACCTGTTATCGTAACTGAAATATCCCTAAATGAATTGATATCGAATTGAATCAAGTCGGAAATCGAATCGAATTTGGACCTTGTGAATCAGAATCTTGTGAATCGGAATCGAATCGATTCGGGAAATCAGTGGTGATACCCAGCCCTACTACAGCGTCAGTTGTCGTAACACTTGCTAAGATGAAATGAAATCAAAATGGACAAAAGCAGCCTTTATAATAACAGATGATGATTGTGGGAATAACACTTTATAAAATGATATGTAGGCTTACAGTCATATGCAAAAGTTTAGGCGCCTCTGGTCAATTAACATATTTTGTTGATTTATAAATAAGTTATAAGTATAAATAAGTAAAAAATCAACAATAACCTCAACATCTATGTAGTTTGGCTGGGGTCCTGAAATATTTGCATTTTGCATACAACAGTATGTCAGTTGTACATGAAAGGCTTATGTAGGTGTCATACAGGCTTATAAATGCTGCCCTTCAATAAAGTGTTACCAAAATGTATGTCACACTGTCTAGTCTAGGACAGTCAAAAATGTTGTAGAAACAAGCTCTTCTAGCATTTCTCCTGAAATCAAAGGTATCAAACTATCTGTTTAGGCTTTACACTAGATGTTGGAACATTACTGTGAGGATTTGATTGTATTCAGCCTCAATAATAATTAATATGGTCAGGTACTGATGTTGGATGGTCAGTTCTGGACACTCCAACTTATCCCAAACGTACTTGATGGAGCTTCATGACTCCAGAGAACACAGTTCCACTGATCCACTCTTAGGGGGGGCTTTAGACCCTTCTAGGAGACACTTGGCACTGGGCATGGTGACTTCAGGCTCATGTACAGCTACTCCAGAGCATCCCATTCTGCCGATCAGTGCTTTTCTATGGAGAACACATAAGCTGGGTGCGCACATTCACTAATTAGAAGGGGTGTCTGGATACTTTTGGACATACTGGACGTATCAAGGTCACTGATATAAGAAGTAGCCTCTAAAATAACGACCTCTTAAAGCAGGTAATTAAATTCAGGTATTCCAGTCAATTCCAGTGTGGGCTTCAAGTGTCCTGATAATTTTTTTTTTTTTAAGATAAAGTTACTTTGTCAAAATCTCTGCTTTATTTATGACCGAATTCTTTTTAAGTATAATACAACCTGATGAAAAGAGATTTTAGAGGACTTAAAACGAAAAGCTCTTAATGGAAATGGTAACAAAAGGATCTTTAAAGACTTGGGCCTCCATTAGTCTGCAATCAGGCACAGTTTACAAATGGAGGAAATTCAGCACCATTGCTGTTCTGCCTCGGAGTGGGTGTCCTACAAGGAACAGTACAAATGATCCTGGAAAAAACCCTGCAGTAAACATTCACAGTATTATGTTTGGAGAAAATAATAAACAGCGTAAACAAAATCTGCTGTGAAACATGGTGGAGGGAACACTGTTGTACTCGTTTTCCTGTCTCAGGACCTGGACATGTTGAATGTTTGGGGAGGAAGAAATCCTATGACAGAACGTCAGTGTTGCGATTGTAATTTAAATTGTGGCTGTTTTGTATAAATTATTCTTATTTTCTTGTCAAGAATAACAGTACTTTTTCTGGATTGAAGCCTGACCACACTGGACATAGTATAGTGTGCCAGACTGCCTGTTATTTGTAGTTGTTTTGCCATGTACACAGCATGTGGGTGTTTGGTTGCTTCTGCTTGGTAAGACTTTTCTACAGACTTTTCTACTTTTCAAAGTTTTATTACACACTTCTATAACAAGAATATCAGTATTGCATTAAGGTCCCTCTAGTTACTGAATAATAAGCCTTAGTATGAAATAAACCTGGAATGTTAAGGGGTTAAAGCTTACTATGAAAACTCTTGATAATACAGGCTATAGATAACATTGCAATGTGAACACAGCACTCCTTCCAGTTGTGATATCGGTATAAAACTGTTTAATCTTGCAGCCCTAGAATGTATTAAGTTCCACTGCAGTTCTATGAATTACTCAGTGCTCAAGTAGTTTTGTGATGGCATTTTTCTACTTCTTCTCAAATAGTTTTTTTTTTTCAAAAAGGTGCATTTGAATCATTGTTTCACCAGAGAACTACTTCAAAGTGAACAACAAGAGTGCACAGCTGAACAAGATTGTGTTTCTCCAGCTCCAATGTGCAAAATATACATAAATATAACATAAAAGACAACTGCACCTAGACATACTAGACAGCATAGACAGACATAAAAAAACGTATGTATAAGAAACAAAATCTGAAAATATTTCGTGTTGTACAGAAAGTTATTGCACGTTGTTTAAGTGAGAGTATTATCGCACGGTAGAAATGTAAACTTGACACTGGTGAATAGTCATCAAGTGCTCAAGTGAGGAGAAGATTGAAAATACTGCACAGAAAAATCGTTGCATTTTTGTATAGAAGACGAGTTCCAATAAAAGTGTTCAGACGGTCTGTGTGTACGTTCAGGAGTTCAACAGTCCTGATAGGCCAGTGTGTTGTTAGAGGGAGTTGAGTGGTCTGATGGTCTTTGAGAAGAAGCTCCTGCTGAGTCTGGCGGTCTTGCACTGCATGCGTTTGCCAGAGGGTAGAAAGCTGAACAGTCCATGGGCAAGGCGGGTGGGATCTTTGACTATCTTGGTGGCTCTGCTGAGGCAGCGTGACAGGTAGAGATCTTGTATGGACAGAGGTGGGGTTCTGATGATCTTCCCTGCCGTCCTTACCACTCTCTGGAGGGACTTCTGCTCTGGGTCGGTGCAGCTGCTACACCACACTGGGAGGTTGCTGGTCAGGATGTTCTTTTACTTGGATATAGGTTTAGGATACTCCACACCCCTCTTTAGATGATTGTGTCATATATTTTCTGTACTGTTTGTTAAATTAGACTATTGATGAATTATATTTCAGAAGAAAACTGAAGGGTGCACAAACTTTCTCACAAGCGTATGAATCAAACAGGCCAAAGTGGGAATGCTGTGGGAAAAGAGCTTTGCTTATTGACTCTTAATGACTGAAGTATGGATAAGAGCGAATGCTGCAGATGTATGTTTTAGTTTGGCATCTGATGAACAGCACTGCACTGAAAAGGGTGTCCGGTATGCTGGTTTATGTGGTCATTCGCACAGTAGCCACTGCACCATGTCGATGCTAAATCAGCGCAGTCATTCTGAGAGAGGAATGGTAAATGCAGGCCTTGGGCGTTCTCCAAGTCATTTCTGAATTTCCAATTGGAGGCGTATTTAAAACGGACCTTTTTAATGGAAATATTGCAAGCCAAGCATTTAGTGAGCTATTGGCAGTCTTGCAGTAATTAGCCGTGCTCGTCTTGCCTGGGAATGTATAACATGTTAAATTGAGTAGATAATTAGATCAATTAAGACTGGGAGCAGAACTTAGCACAAACTGAGCAAATCTGGTGATTTAATCACTTCAAGGGAGACTGTCATGGACGGTTTAGGACTCAAGAACAGATTAAACTAGCTGAACTTAAAACTCGAACTCCAAACTCCAGTGTAGTGTGACATTACAGTATATTGCTGAGTACAGTCTATGATGCAGATACAACCTCCAAAACTGTAGATTGCCCCACCCAACGAGTAGTTTTCAGGAGCCAAGAGGTTTTTATGTGGAGGACCATGCCTGAAGCTCCTCCTCCATTCAGTCTAAAGCCCTATATATTCCCATCTCTACCTTCTTTTTCCTGTGATAAAGTTTTCACACCCCACCACCACCCCACATTCTGCAGTTCTGTCTGTCAGTCCTACCTCCGTCCATCAAAGAGGGGTCTAAGCGGAAGCTGCCCAGAACTCCAGCCCCGAGTTTCACTTATACTACCACCATACACTGAAGGCACGTTTTAGTTGAAACACTTTATCTGGATAGTCCACTTTAGATGCTTTGTAGATACTTAATTTACTTTCAAGTTACATTCAACTAAATATCTACTAAACTGACCATCATTTTCTTTAACTCTAAACCTGCTCTAATCCTAACCTGAACCTCACCCTGGTCCAAATCCTAACTCCAACCCCACCACTGCTTGGAATCAACTGAGTTTTAACAGATGGTTTGTTAACAGTTTAAACATCTGTAGATGATCTATAGGAGACTATAGTGGACTATGCAAATAAAGTGAGACCGTTTCAACTTGCCAAGTACAAGTTATTCATTTTTTAGGATCAGGGGAAAAAAAGCAGAAAACATTCAACAGGAAATGACACAGATTCCTCAACAACTAAATATAATGCGAGTTTTTTTCAGTATTTAGTTTGTCCATAATTTACCTTTATTACAGCTTCTGTTCTTTTTAGGAGACTTGCTTTCAGTATTTCAAAGAAATCCTCTAAGAACACCAGCAGCTTCTTTGTTCGATTCACAAATTTCCTTTTGTCAGTAAGAAACAACACAAAATCATCTCAACTCTCAAAGATGAAAGCTCTACCTGCTGCTTATCTGATGGGGCAGTTTTGGTGGTCTGCCTGGTCTAGTATGGTTGTTAAGAATCCCATTTTCTCTGTGTCTTTTAATCATGTTTTGAACTTGTGGAAACTGTCTTACTTTATGAAAACACTGACTTTCCCTTCCTTATCTTCTATCTAATCTCTTCAGAAATATCTCCTGAAAAATGAAGAACTCGTACCTCGCAGCTGTTTAGACTGGAAATGAAATAATTTAAACTGGTCTTTCACTTTTTTGCAGTAGTAAAGTTTGCTGTCTTCATGGATGCTGAACTAGTAGCTTGTTTCTGTGTTTCTCTGTTACAGACTGTGTTTGGGAACTTTTGGTGAATAAATAAATAAGTGTGGCCCAGCGTGATCCCTAAAACCCCAAACATGACCGCGGAGCCGTTAGCAGAGCGGAGCTCTTTTGTATGCGATGTACAGCAGTGCAGTCTTTATTATATTATTTAATATTTGTTCCCCTGTACTCCGGCTGCTGTTTGGGATTCATACCTGCTCTCAGCGCAGCGATGTGGAATATCTTGTCGGGGTCATTGTCAGGTTGTTACAGCAGCATTATTTTCTAATGGGATCTGGGGTACAAATGAGAGTGTGAAATTCCCATCGGAAACGAACTACTGCTTCCGTCCTGCGCAGCCTGTCTAATGGCCGAGCCGGAGGACTGAGGATCCGTCATGCTTCTAAAGGCTGATTACAGGGCCGTGGTTAAGTCTCTGATGTGGACATGCTGAGAAACAGAAATTTGTCTTTAGGTTCCTCTCCATCCGTGTGGAATGGCTGATTCTCCCTCTCCCTCTCTCTCTCTCTCTAAGCATTCATTCAGGCCAGACTTCCTGTCCACTGCGCACCAGCTTAAGGAGGAGGGATTTAAAGTGAGTGAAACCTCTTTTCTCCCAAACCCACTGCAAAATCGCTGTAGTTTATTGGCCTGAGGTGGAGGAGGATTACTTTAGCCTGTCTCTCTGAAGTATTCTGTTAATTAGATGGTGCACAATGTGAAGAGATTTCATACTGCAGTTGTTTTTGCCGTGTGATAAAAATGCTTTGCAGTATATTTTCTTTATAACTCATTCTAGTGTTTCAGAGCTCTTTGCTCAAAAAGGACAGAATGCCATCAGTTATAATTGCAAGCCACTATAACTATTTAAAAATAGTGCATGACACATTGCAATTTTGCAGTTTATTAAATGTGCCGCCCTAATTAACTCCTCTGATAATAGAGCTTCACCCCAGGGTGATTCCTCTTTTTTCATAAATACATTTCATAGATACTTAATTTCACGTCATGGCAAACATAGCTGGTCAAAACATTATCAGAACCACATTTAATTTGTTGGAATAGTGTTGATATTGCTTTTCCCTCCTTTATGGCTCTGTTGTAGCTGTATGCTACAGAGGCTACCTCGGCCTGGCTGAACGCCAATGATGTGCCCACGACCCCAGTCGCGTGGCCCAGCCTCGACGGTAAAGACTCCACCCTCCCCAGTATCAGCAGGTCAGTATTAACCTGATGGATCTGTATCATTCAGAGACCCTGAAGGGGAACATTAATTTCTCAAAATTTCTGCACAATTCATGGTTGAGAATGATGTAAACATAACTTTCCACAGTGCACAGGGCAAAGATGTAAACATAACTTTTCCGTTTGATACCTGTGACACTGTTTTACGAAGGTTTTGAAAGTATTCTGGGCCTGAAACCGTTCATAATGTAGGACAGGGGTGTCAAACTCTCAACCAGTAAAAGGGCCATATTAAAAAAAAATCTCATCCAATCTGTGGGCCTGAGAGAAAAACGTTTTTAATTTCATTTTTAATGAATGTGCTGTAACCTGAACTGACCATTGTTTATTCAGAATATTCAACAGTAAAATACAGACAGTTGTAGTAGACCTTTAAATATTACATGGACACTTGAAATGTTCAAAATTTAAATGTCCCCAGGAGCTCAGTCTTTTAAACCTACTTATTTTCTTGAACTAGACACCTGCTATCATTTCTTTACTGCAAGTTCATTAAGACCTGGGCTCAGTTTCTGAGCTGATGTGAAGTGTTTATATTGGTTGAACTGCAGCTGAAATGCATTTGGTGATATGACTGGTGTGGAAAAGTGTAGAATTGAGGTGTAACCGCTGCCCCATACGTTGCTGTTGGGGTAGGAGAGTTGGAGCACACAATTATGTTGCAGTGCATGCTGGGGATTGTAGTGCAGCTGCCTGCGAAACAGGCTAATATTAACATAAAATTAAAATACTTTTGCAGGCCGGATAGGACTGTGTCAGGCCTGTGGGCCTTGTGTTTGACACATGGGGCATAGGATATATGCAGCGTTATACAAGGCAAGACTTACCAATATTTCTCCATACCAAAATTCAGAAGCAAATGAAATATTAGTGTAGACAGTGCCCCTGGTTCCTGTCACCATGATTCTGAAGTAATTTCTTGAATTCTCTATAATGGCATATTTCACAGCAAGTCTTTGTGCACCATCTTAAAGATTATGCAGAAATGTGGAGAAATCACTGATTCCCCTTTTCTTTAACTTGTTTTAAGGTGTGTAAGGAAGCCTAAACTTGTCCTCAAGTAAAAGTTTTGTTACTTCAGTGAAAAAAGTACCTTCCTGCAAACATTTTAAGTAGAAATATAGACTTGTCAGGTCAAAATCTATCTATTCCACATCTATAAGCATAGGAACTGAGATTTACTTAGCTCCACTCTTCTTCTTTGATGCACTCTTGGTATAAAATAAAGCACTAAGCCTCAGAAGTGAGAGGTATGACCTCTGATATTGTAATGAAATTAAACACAAAAGGAATTAGTAACTAATATTAATTAATAAAATGTAACTGAGTAACGTGGATTCCGTTCCAGGACCTAGGAAGAATATTTGGAAATACTCAGGAAAATATATAGTATGTAAATCCTCTGTGGGCTGCAAATGGCAAAATGTGCAGTGATGTATAAAGAATACAGTGAGCTTAATTACACTTATCATGCCACTGTTTAAGTGTACCGAGGCAGGTTGGTAACACTTGATCTGAAGGGTACCAACAGTGAAACTTCATAACACATACATAAGCACTGAATAGAGTATTTAAAAAGCAATACTTGAGTATTAGAGTATTAATGAACAGTTCATGCTGTGAACAATGACAAGATGTTTTATGAAGTAAACAACATTGTATTGAAATAAGTTGCCTTAAACTACAGTGAAAGACAGGTGTTCCATTTATAATACAGTTATGAAGTATTATTCACAAGTAATGAGACTGTTATTAAGTAGACAGTTACTTGCAAATTATGTTTCATAACAGTGTTATAAATGAAACAACTGTATGTCTTAAGTTAAGGTCATAAAACGCCATCTTGCAATTACTGACCTAAGCTGTTCATAAATTTAAATGTTATTCAGTGCTTGTGCACATGTTATGAAATCCTTATGAAAGCGGCCTTCAAATGAAGTGTTACCAGCAAGTTTTAGCCACAAGGAAATAAACTGATCATACCTTTGTTTTCTAGAAAATGATTAAATTATAAATTATACAGTGATGTTTCTTCACTGCCGTAAAGGATATTTATTTTGTGTCTCAAGTTGCCTTTGTTGATGTTTTCATCAATAACTCCTCCCTTGTCTTCAGCTTGTTTCTGAATTCTGTCCTTGTTTTCATCAAACGCAGTTTGCTCTCCTGAGAAACGGACAGAAAGACAAATATTAAGAATGTGGAATCAGCGCAGCCTACTCACTGTGCTGAGCCACGCCACAGTGTTGATATTTACCTTTAAACACAGTGGTGGGCAGCCAGCATCCTCAAACAGGGCCACAACGGAGGCTGCTGTTCAAGGGTTGGTCAGAAGAGAAGAACCTGCAGCTTTGGCAGGAAACTGCCTGTGTTTTGGCTTCCGACAGCTCACAAACAGCTGTCAGCCAAAAACAAGCAGGAAAAGCCACTGATGTTGACAAAGGGTTTAGTCACCTTTGTCGTTCCTCGCTTGTCAGTCACTTGCGATGCTGGTATAAGGGCATGGTGTCTGATGAGAAGGACTCCACTGAAAAGGGCGGCCCAGACTTGCTGTTTTACGTGATGTGTGTTGATAATCTCCAGTGGAGATCAGTGAGATGCCTTCAGTTTGAGAACAGGGTCTTAAATGTACAGTTTAAAGTTTTAAAGTTTGTTATTGGTGTAAACGTGTTTGACATATTTGGACGCTCATCTCTGTGCAGGCTACTCAGCGACGGCCACATTGACCTGGTAGTGAACCTTCCCAATAACAACACCAAGTTCCTCAAGGACAACTTCCTTATCCGCAGAATGGCTGTGGACTACGGCGTGCCCCTTATCACCAACTTCCAGGTTGGCCTCCCTCTTACAAATGCTCATTCTACCTTCCTAGAATTTGCAGGAGACTCCAGATCAGTCCATGCTGCTGTTTTAGTCCCACATCACTGCTGTTCAGAGCTTTTAGTGCACACTGACAGGAAAAGGATTCTCTTATTCTCTTTAAAATGACTAGATTAGTGTTTGTTGGTTTCAGTTTCTGTGCCCACATATCGACACATCCAGCTTTAAAATCAACCAAACCCCTCCACATCTTATATGAGGATATGGGGCTATATGGTCCTTTATCGTCAAGGAGTAGACTTAAATATGGGATCAGTGATTTGATTAGAACACTTTTTGTAATATTTGGTGAAAATCTCAGTGAAAGTCCCTGTGGCTGTACTAGGCTTTATAAACTGGGTGAAAAAAATAGTGGCACATCTACTTGTTTGTTGATTAAGCTTTATGTCCATAGAACATGGTAGGGAGCTGGACTGGGTTGCACCGATTTTGCGTACGTTTATTTATACCCAAGTTTGGCCATAAAGTCCTTAGTTACACTAGTTAGTTTGAAACTATACTTTTACTAAATTTGGTTGCACCACAAATCCATAAGTCATGTCTTAAGTAGTAACAACTAATGCATACGTCGCTTTAACATGATGATAATATCAGTATATAATAATAATAATAATCAGTAAACCTGCTGTCATGGAAACACAGCACCAGCTTGCTCTGACTCATGGAAAAATATCCTGCATAGAAGAGAACGATGTGTACAAGTTAAACTGAATTAAACTCATTATCTACAGACATCGCCTGTTTATTCTTTAATATTTCACTGAGAAAACCAAATATGCAGCTTTTTTAATGTCGGTTTCTGGCTGACCGACACAACAGCAGCATCAGTTTAGTCGTTTGTGCAGCTGCTGAGTCTCACTGAGCTGGAGCTGTTGGTGTTCAGCTTCATGCCCTGAGTTTAAACCAGGGTGATGATTAGAGCTGTAAGTAAAATCACAACGGATTGTGTTTAGAATTTTTAGCTTAGTTAACCAAAAAGTCATGTTTATGATCTTGTTTGTGTTTCTATGTGATTTCTGATGGTTTCCCCAAAACTTACACCTGCTCAGGTAACTACTAAGTAACTACTAAGCTCAACCTAGTTTTGTGGTGCAACCTGTTTTGATGTAGTAATGCATAAACCTGAGCTTAGTAAACAACTAGCCTCTGTTTGAACTTATGTACAGCTGGTGCAACCGGCCACTGTAGCCTAGCTGTACAGCCAGCAAGTTAGAAACCTGTAGTTCTGATAACTTCCATTAGCCTGAGGAGCATGAAGTGCCAACCTTATTCTGTATCTGATAGTTTTTTTATGCATAGATAAGCTTCCAGACACCTGCTTATCCCGTTTCTTCTGAAGTAAAATCTCAAATGGCTCCCTGCTCCCTACATAGTGCACTACGCAGGAGTTTAAATACCGACTCCTGCAGCCCAACAGAGCAAAACATTGCTAAAAATGGTCATTTGGGATTCATCGACATTCAGTCTCGACAGGCGGTCACTATTTGACAGCAGAAACTAGAATTTCTAAACTTAATGTTACACAGCACACTATTCGGCTAAGGAGTACGGAGCCATTTGGGATTCAGCCTGGGTTTGATGCGACTTCTGACTTAAACACGGACATTTGAAGTGTGTAAACCATTCAGGTGACGTTCTTTAGACTTTTATATTGCTGTTTTTCAGTGAATCATATTGTGAGTACTTTAATTCAAGCCTGTGATATTAATGATGACTTGTTTAGCATGTTTGCTATCTGTTAGGCTGTTTGCTAGCTGACCAGCCTGGTTCTAGTTAAGAAAATAAGTTGTCAGCCCCTCAGTTTAAACAAAAATGGGTTCTTACTTCATCAGTACACCCGGCGCTCCATGCGATCAGCATTAGAGTCAAAGAATAATCCATTAACAGCAGAGGGGTTTTTCGTGCTGTGGCGCAGTGATACAGAGTTCAGTTGCTGTGAGGCGGTCACAGCCATATCGTGGATTTTACAACAACTTCGAACGTGGCTCAGCCAATCAGATTTTCTAGTCTAGACAGGATGCATGCTTGTGTCTTGGGGGTAGGGCTTGGATGGGAAACGTATCCTTGCTGTAAATACTGAGTGTTATTTTATTTTTCCCCACAGGTCATCAAGCTGTTTGTTGAAGCCATTAAGTATTCCAGCGAGCTGGACACTACAAGTCTCTTCCACTACCGCCAGCGAGACAGTGGCCAGCAGGGTTAAAGACGTCTGAGCACATCACCCCCTCATCGCATCCCTTCTGCAACCTCCATGGCACAGAGCCCACACCACCTCTTAAGGTCCAAAGTGCCACTATGGGCAGCGCACTCTGCAGTGCCATGTCTAATGTCACTTGGAGGGGGGGTCAGAGCATTCCAGCCACTCTCTAAGGTCAATGGGTTGTCATTTTGACTGGGTTGAAGGACACTTGCGTCTAGTTGAATCACCTCAGTGTGACAACAGAGAGAAGGGGATAAATTACTGATCTTAAGATTTTTGCCTGGGGGCAGTATTGTTCTTTGTTTATATTCGTGTGCTGCTTTTCTTGACAGTATTTCCTATTGTGTTGAAGATAGCAATTGCCTTAGCCCTAAAGGGGCCACTGGACTAACAGAGCCTTTGATAGGTTTTGGTTTCTTCTGATTGTTCCTCTGTGGTTTTTTTTTGTTTGTTTATATGCTGTAGTCTGTTTATTCAGGCTATAATGGGAATGAAGGTGCTTTTCTGAAATCGTTTTCCAGCTGTACTATTAAAGGAGAATTCCACCAATTTTTCCGAAGGTTAGAAAATGCGAAACAGTGCAGCATAGAGAAACGTACGGTCTCAGATTTCTTTACAGTGGTGGTAAAGAAGTGCAATGGCCACAACACAAATACAGCCATTTTATTTACTATCAAAAACAATCAGTGAACCTCTGTCTTGTGTTTTTATGGATTATAATAATGGTATAATAGTAGTAAAACCAAAAAAGTTTCTTTGGGTACTATTTTGCCTTACAACACATGAATGTACCTTTCAACCATGAACAGACATTTAAAAAAACTGATTTTAGGCCAAAATTTTCCCAGAACTACAGTACAGCAATGTCTCAAACATCAGGCAGCACAACCATTTCATATACTAGTTTTCTGTGATGTAGCTTAGATGTATTAAACACTGTCACCACTGTTATGAACAATTCTGGCTGTTTCTTTACAATGGCACATTTCACATCAAACCATTCTGAATTCTCCTTTAAGTATGGTATTTCAGCACAGAGAGAAGAGTATTTAAATGCCATTACGTTTACGTGGTTGAATGTGTGTTAAACAGTGGGGCAAACGACTTTGGGGGAGCTCAATAAACACCAGCATGTCACACTCCTTTCCACATATCACCACTCTTCAGTAATTTCACACTACAAGCACAACAGTCCTCTGAGAAAGGCTCTGGTTATACTGTATAAGTAATAAGCGCTTGTGTGCTATTCATTAGCATAAACCAAATTTTTATGCGTCTTTTAAATGACATTTCATTCGGCCCTTTCATTATGAATTGTTTTTATTGTCTCTGTTTGTTCAGTCACTTTGCTGAGTGAGAGTTTAGAGAGCGCTCGTGGGAGATGTGGAGGGACATTGAATTAAAAATCCTCTGGCTTAATAAAGTCGAGCACAGTGAGTTAATAGTGTTTTCCTCCCCAATGAATTTAAGACTGATTGCCATTGTTTATCAATTGGCGAGGCCGACACATCGATCAGAGCAGGGTCCCCCGCCTGAAGTTTCAAAACCTACAGAGAATGCGTAATCAAGCCGCTCGGTCCGTCTACCGCCCATCGCTGGGGAAAATTTATACCGTTTGCTTTGTGTTAAGTGCCGATGTTCAACAAACAGCAAGGCTAATACATCAGCCGTGTGTTCTCCAGAGCTAAGCAGGTATTGTAACTGACTGTGTTGCTAATCAAAAGCTGAGGAGGTTCACAGGCTGATTAGGTAACAGAGTGCTATGTTAGAAGGACCTGCGTAATGCCTCGTGGGATAATTACATCAGATTTGCGCACTAACAGAGGCGACACCATCAGGCAGATGGTACCTCGTGCCAGCCAGGTGGGGGTCACTGGTGCCATAGGAATAGAATTAACTGCACATCTCTGGCTTTCCTCATTGCTCTTATAAGTGCTGCACCATAAGGAATACTGGCATTTACGCGCAATACTAGTATCAACAATAAAGAATACTGATACCTCAAAATAGATGGAGCTTAACTCCGACACGAAAACTCATGAGCAGTGAGAAAGGTGACAAATTCAGAAACCAGTCGCCTGTAGCAGGGTCAAGCGTGGCTTTGTTCCTAGGAGACCATTTTGGTAAATTTAACATGAAAATTCTTAGGCATTCTGAGACTAAAATACAGCAGTAATTGCTGTGGAATTACTTCCTTTAGAGAGTTCAACTTTACTTAAGTTCACTTACGCAACTACATATAAGTTACATGAAAAAACTGTAGTTTTCTAGGTTGTTTGACTTTTTTGTACGATATGAATGTCAAAAAACAAAGCTTTTGAAATTTGGCAGACATCACCTTTTAAGACTCCATAATGGTGTGTAGTGCATGGACCCAGTGATTGCCACTTGTGATGTAATTTGTAGACGGAAATCAGCGTTCAATCAATATTCATCAGTTTCAGATGAAAGTTAAAGTGCATTGCTAACAATGATAATTTACATGTTAACCATTTTTGCCCACCATCCAAAAGCTACTGAGGAAGGAAATCTGAATATGCAGAAACCAACTTCATCAAATCTACAATGTACATAAATGTCACGTTCATAATTCAAAGTGGGGAATCTGACCAAAACATGTAAACTTGTTGCCTTTGTCAACTGAAGTAAGCAACAAGTCAGCGGTGTGAGATCATACTACAGTAGTAAAAATGCACATAGCAAAATCTGTACAGCCAGTATTTAGAGGGGAGGCACAACCAGCAAAGATTTCAATACATCAAATTTAATTAAGCATGTAAAAATAAAACACCAAAGAGCTCAGTGAAGATTCATAACTCTGAAACCACGGAAGTGTGAAGTTATCCAAGCATTAAATTCCACTCATTTAAAAGACTTCATGTTTTGTTTGACAGAATGGTCAAGCTTTACTACAATCCTGCAGCATAACAATCATGCTATAAACATGCCATGGCAGATGTCATATGCAGTCATGAGCAGTTATGACGGATTTTGTTCAGTAGTATAACACAGTCATGTTACCGCAACTATCATGACAGAAGAAATAGTGACGATTGACTGGTTTCACAGCAAACCGACAGTTTAAAATTTTAATTATCATTAAAACTGTGGTCCATTGCCACAAAACTCATGTTAAATACTGTTCAACTTCCACCAAAGTTAGCAACAGTCTCCCAGACGCAGCACTGAGCACCGAGTCTGAGATGTGGTCATATTTTAGTTTTTATAAGAGTGCAGAGGGTCTGTCTTTAGAACAAGCAGAAAGAAGATCGCTGTGAAAGAGTCTTCTTTGTGACCTCACCCACCACTACTAGCGAATGTGTTCTGGCGAATTTTGCTACCTTGTCGAAATGTCCCACCGCAGTGCATATTTATAGGTCACTCCACACACAAAACTCCAGGTAGGATATTGTGATGGCTTAAATCACCATCAAAAAAGCCTAACAGCATTAAAACTACAAAGCTGAAGTCAGCTTCTTATTCGCCAGCTTCTTGTTAGAATTTTCCTGTTCCACCTTAAATGGTGCAGCAGTTACATCCTGGCACCTCAAGGTGCCAGGATGTAACTGCTGCACCATTTAAGGCGGAACAGGAAAATTCGAACAAGAAGCTGGCATAACCATTCCATAAACATGTCACTGCAGATGTTATATGTGGTCATGAGCGGTTACAGGTAGGATAGTTTGATAGTCTAAATGTCCTCATCAGAAAATAATTAAAAAAAAAAACAAAAGGATATTTTGAGAGCCTAAATCAGCTATCAGGGGGGGAAGTAGTGGTATTGAAGTAGTAGTAGTAGTAGTAGTAGTAGTAGTAGTATCTCTACCAAATTACCAATAAAAACACAAAATGTTTGATTGCTCTCATGTTTGAACCTCTCATGGCCACATGGTGCCACCTTTAATGTGAATGCACATTTGATATGGTTTTCATATGTTTCCATAAGGTATTGGCTACAGGTCTCATTTCACCAACTGTTCTTAGGATTTTTTTTTTTTCTTAAAACCCACTTACGCAGTTTTCATGAAAATTCTCACATTTACCAGCGTTTATTTGAGATTTGTTCTTACGTAATAACAGAATCTACACACACTCAAGAGCACAGAGCTGCGACCAATTCTGCAGTTTAAGAGCACATCGTGAATCTGATGTAGACTTTTTTATCGGGACCTTTCTCAAGAACACATTTAAGAAAAAACGTCTTAACTTGATGAATGAGGCCGTGTTATTATTTTAATGTTTATGCAAAGAAAAAGCGCTGCTAATTTTATTTGTGGGTTTCAGTGTAAAACTTGGTGAAATGATTCCAGTTTGTATATCAGTACTTTTGGGACATTTTTATCACATTTATACCATGATAATACTGACAACCATGATAACTTTGGTCACTGTAATCATGATATTATATTTTCATATTATTTCATCTCTAACAGAGGCTGATGCTACAACAGCTTTATCACAGATTGTTGCTAAATGCAGTTTCAATAGTCATCATGACAAACAGTTTAACATTTTAAAGGTAATGACAACATAACACGATTATATTATTGGACATAATGTGTCATTACAACTCATAACCACATATAATATCTGCAATAACATGGTTATGTCAATATTATTCAGCAGGGTGAAGTAAAGTATTACCCACAGACCTTTTACCAAAATAAAAGTTATAAAAGCACAAATATCAGAATTTTCAGGCACCTAACGAGTGTTTAGAGGTAAGACTGGTATCGGCACTCTGTATCGGCAGATTACATATCGCATCAGAAGGAAAACAGTGGTATCTGTGCCTGCCTGGGTCTAATAAATGTCCTTTTGCTGCTGATTGATTTATAGCATGGATGTTCTAATGCGTTCTACAGAAGTACTTGCAGGTGACGTTGCTGTGCACCTCAGCTTTGATGATTAATAAGGAAACACTGCTCATGCTGGATTATGAGTTGATAAGAGGCTCCATTATTACTGTTTATTTTCAGTTGTGTAAATGAGTGCCACCTTACTGACACAGCTAGGAGAACGTCTAACGACTGGATGGAAGAACTGAATCAAACAGTACTGCTTATTTCTGATTGCTAAGACTGACATTCAACAATTCTTCAAGTTTTAGGTTTCGAGTGAAGGTCATAAGTGTTTTGTTTGGCTTTGACTGCAATTTTGTAAGCTGGTCAGCAGTTTTGTAGTTTGTGATCAGAATTTGGAAAAGTTTAGTATTAACAATTCGAAACAACTGCTCAAGACAGGACGACCGTGTTCCACGTCAGCTTCGCTTTGCTGCTCTTTCCCTCATATAACTTCATTAATTGTTTGATTGATTGTGCAAATTAAGGCCCAACGCTCCCCCCAGCAACGCGAGGACATTTCCTACTTAATCGATAGCGCTGGTTCGCGCTGCCCACAGATTAACTCATTCATTAAGTGGGCTGATTAAACCTTCGGATAAGCGAATGAAGCAGTTGCAAAGCAACTTAGGTAAATTCTCCAAAGATCTAAACAGATCGCTTTAATTAGCTTGGAGTGTTTTTCATCCTTCTGTTGCCCTGATAGAGTTTGAAGACTCCTTCAGCGTTCCTCGAGCGAATGGAGGTTAATTTGTTCGAGTGTGAATCTGATTATTAGGCTGACAGGCATCGGTGCCGCACTGACGCCATCCTTCTTCTCGCTGACCCGAGCCGGAGGGACCCGCAGGTCATTTACAGGATGCACGCCACAAACGCATCGACTGAGCTGCTGGAACAACTTCACTCTTCTGGAAGCTCACTGTGATATTACAGTGCAACTACGCCCTCCGACTTAAGTTATTCTCTGCCACATCCGTCTCCTAGAAAAGTGCTCAGAAAATTGGAGATTTGGTAGGGTGCATTGTTTCTAGGCACTGGGGTGGAGAGAGAAGCCTTCCGAGAGCAGCGATGAATTCATAACAGTGTTCCACTAAGCTGCATCCTAAAGTTCATAATAATATTAAATACACAAGAGGAAGGTCAAACAATCCCAAAGCCCTGGGTGAAAAACAAGCCACATTTCCTGATGTTATACCAGAGAACTTGTAGAGAGGAGAATTACCACTCCGTGATGTCTTCCGGGTTTCTCAGACACTAGAGGGCACTCCCGAGCAAGTTCAAAATGAACGGGTTAAGATGGAGCATTTGAGCAAAATCCTGAACACTGAACAGCGTAAAACATTTAACACTGCTTTTATATTTTTAAGAGCTTTTAAACTCGATTTATAGGAGTTTAAAACGGTGCCTCGTGTACCTCATTGACGTCTGTGAGCTCGAACAGCCAATGAGCTGCTCCGCTCGCCAACCAATCAGCCCAAAACCCGTTTGTGATAGAAAAAATTAAACATACAGGTGAGTTTTCTTTTTTAGTGAACTACATCCTTCTACTTTCTTAAATGAATGGAAAGTTCTGGGCGAGTGA